CGAGAGTTGAAATTTGAGGGAAACAGTGAAGAACACTGTCAATCTACAGTTCTTGGCCCAGGTTGAGGATTTGGATCAGTGTAGTCGATACAGTTGGGGATCAGCACTGCTGACTAGGTTGTACTCTCGACTATGGGAGGCATCACAGTATACCATGCACGACGCCACTGGGTGTCTATATTTGCTACAGGTACGTATTAGTTTTCATTTTGTGTTTTAATTATTTTGCGCTTTCGACGTTATAATTTGAAGTTTTTACATTATTATTGCAATTTACTAGGTATGGGCGTATGAGCGGATCGAGAGGATCGCGCCCCAAAGAAAAGGAGTAGATTATTTGATTGATGATACCGCTCCATTAGCTCAGCGGTACGTATTTTCAGTTCAAAATAACTCAACGTTTAATTCTATTTGTTTCTTATTCATTTATTTTACTAATTCAAATGTACCCCTTTGTTTATTAAGGTGAGAATGTAGGTACACGTACGGCGACGCCCCAAGGAGCAGCACTCCACCTTTTAGAGATCAATTAACAAGTCTGCGTGTTGAAGATGTAAGTACTTATAATTTGGTATTTATATTTACTTTGAGATCAATTACCCTTTCTTTTGGTTTTGGCTGTACCATCTAATGAAATTTTTTTCGTGCAGTTTCGGTGGCAACCATATGTACATGTCCTCCATAGACTCCCTGATTTCTGTACACAAGACCAAGCCATTTGGACGACTAGGTGTTGGATGTTCTGTTGGGCTATTAGGGAACCCCACGAGTCGGGCAGAGTCGTAAGACAATTTGGATACATACAGGATGTTCCCAAGCGCCCCATGATTAAAGATAACGCAGCATTCCTTCTCGATCACGCCCACAGTATGTCTGGGTATCCTAGCAATAATTGGGAGGATCACCACTCCGCAGTACACCGTCATTGGAATAGGAGAGAAGAGTTCGTGCTACGAGATTTGGAGGAAGGAGATCCTGGTTCCGTATATGAGGGGTACTATGAATGGTTCATGGTGAACACTATCAGACTGATATCCAATCCTGGTAATTATGAACCTCAAGGATACGAGACTTCTTCGAGCCGCGTGAAATTATATGTGAGTTAATTCTAGATTTCTTTTATTATTTCTTATGTTTTCATTTTTTTTTTCATTTTTTATTTTTTTAGAACTTTACTCTCTTAATTAACGTCCCAATTTCTTTTCAGGGTGAAGTATTGAACAACATTCGTGTGAGTACCGAGAGGTTTAGAGAAAAACGAGAAGATGATAATCTCCTAGACGAAGAACTTGACAAGCATTTGGACGATATCATCAATCAAACACATGCTACTTTAACCTTGGGCGCAAATGATGAGATGGAGGTGGATGATACCCAAATCCTGGTTGATAAAGATCCATTTTTGCTCTCACAACCTCCGCCGGGTAAAAAAGCGAAACCGTGGTCGAGAGATAAGATTGGAGGAGGAAGAAAGAGAAAGGTCACAATCCCCCCTCGGACATCGCAACAACAAACTGAGGGTCAACAAAATGAGCATCAAGCACATTCCTCTCGAGGCTCGCGCATCCAGGTCGAGACTCATTTTGAAGAAGCTGGTGGACCCGAGACTCAGTTTGACCTTGGTGGACCCGAGACTCAGTTTGACCTTGGTGGACCTGAGACTCAGTTTGGTGGACAGTCGCAACCACAACCGGGAGTCAAATTTATCACCATGGGGGAGTCCCAATCCCAACCCCAAATCGAGGCTCAGTTTGATGGATAGTCGCAACCACAACAAAGTTCAATACTCACGTATCTTAAGAGGGGAGATAGGATCCGACAGGGCCCAAACAAATACACTCCGGATGCGCACAATAAAGGAAAAGGGAAAAAATGAGACATTTCATTATTTTGGACATTTATAGTAGTTTTTGTATTGAACTTTTTATGAAACTTGATTTGTTTTGTTGTTAATCGAATGTCGTTTATTGTTTTGTTGTTATTAAATTCCTGTTTTCCAATGTTTCATTGTTGTTGGTCTTGAATGTGTTTAGGACTGGTGAAGATCACCCAATTTTTTTCAGTTCGACAAAGACTCGGATTTGCGAAATCCGAACCCGGATTTTTGTAAAGGATTCGGATTTGAAATCCGAGTCCGTACAACCGAGAGTCACCATTTTTCGAAAAGAGCAGATTCGGATTTGATAATCCGAGTTCTGCCCAAATTTAATTTTTCAACACATTATTTTTTCTCTATCCGGAAATTAATATTTTATTCATAGAAACGGATTTATAAAATCCGGATTTAGATTAATTACACTAATTTTTGTCATTAACTTAATATCGGATTTACGTAACACAAAGTCGGATTTTAATAATTCGAGTTGATTAGGGGTCGGATTTCCGAAATCCGAGTTTTGCCCCCATTCGGATTTCCTAAATCCGGGGCATATAAATTTGTCCACAAGATTTTAAAAGGCTTTATTTTTGTCCAGGTTTTTTTTTTCATATATATTTAAGGAAAAAATTCCATATCCATGGGCATTGCTAGAAATTCTAAAATCGATCTCTTTTGCTTTGAAAACGGTGACGTACCCAAGGCACGAATCGATGCAGGTTATGAGCTCATAACAATTATCACAGTTTAGGTGTAGTTTCAAAGTCTCAAACGGGATGCGACAGGCGGCAGAGAAGTGTTCTGCTGACAAATTCAGCAAATAGCTGGCGAGCGTCCCGGGGAGTTTTTTTCGAGAATATTAGAACGGAACTCTTCAAAGTCGAAACTGAGTAGCGGAATGAAGTGCCAGAGTTTGCCCAGTTGCGAGCGACGGCAGCGGTGGTTGGGAGGAAGGAAAGGATGTGGAGGAGGATGCTCTCCGGGAGATCGTCAATGGAAGTTGTGGAAGATTCCAATTCCATCGGTACAGATTCCTTCTTCTTTCTTTGATCTTCAGTTAGCCATCTCCCGATGGAAAACCTCCCGCCAAAACCTAGGGTTTAAAATTATGGGATTTTGGGGACTTTGAGAATTAAAAATAAGGATTTGACTATCCGGAATAAGCTCCAATAGCCATCGACATCAAAGGCACATCTCCCTTCCACCAAATATCATGCCAAAAACGAACTCGACGACCATGGATCGGTTTGTTAACTAGAATGGTAATTGGAGGTGGGAGATGTTTGCTCATTTGTTGCCGGGGTCGGTTCTTCTTCAAATTACGGTAGTCCTACCACCGAATTCTACTGCTGGCCCTGATACAGTGTACTGGAGGCATGCTGAAAATGTACATTTTTTTCCACTAGATCAGCGTACACTCTCAATCCGGACTCGGAACAAGGCGGAGATCGTCGCCTCTGGCGATTGATTTGGAGGTGGGCCGGTCCGCAAAGAGTACGCCTTTTCATGCGGCTGGTAGTCCAGGAGAAGCTAATAACTAATTTGGAGCGGCATCGTCGTAATTTGGCAGCTACTTCAGCATGTGGAGTGTGCAATAGAGGAGCAGAAACTACCCTTCATGCATTGCGAGATTGCTTGTTTGCAAAGCAATGTTGGCTCCGTTTAGTTCAAGCAACCCAGCAGCCCGAATTTTTCTTCCTGAATATGGAGCAGTGGCGGTGGAAGAACCTTGCCTACTCAATGGGCGTGAATAGAGAAAATTGAGATTGCATTTTTGGAGTTATGATGTCGTGCATTTGGCTAGGGCGGAATGCTCATATTTTCTCATCAACTAATTTCTCTGTTGATCACAGCCTGAAGGAAATGCAAGGCTTTATATGCAGTATACAGGGTGCATTGGCCGCCGAAAAGAAGCTGGGTGGTTCCGGAGTTGGACGTGAGCTTCGGATGTTTAATTGGTCTTTCCCGCCGGCTGATTGGGTGAAAATGAATTCGGATGGTTCTTTCAATAATCAGCTTGATTAGGGATGAGTATGGGAGGTGGCTTCGAGGGTTTGTTGTGAATACTGGCTATGCCTCAATTATGTGCGCTGAACTTTGGGGATTGTTTCAAGGATTGGCTATCGCCGAATCATTGCATCACACTGTGGGGCATATGGTAGAGAATAGAGATTTTGTAGGCGTGAATGGTGGCGTCGTTTGGGGTATTAGTGAATTGATGAGTACGAACTGGTGGGTGGATGTATGACATATATTTCGAGAGTCGAACTGTTCAGCAGACTATATGACTTCTCTAGTGTCTTTGCATCCGATGGATTTACATTGGCTTGCTAATCCCCGGCTGGGATGAAACCGTAATTGGAGCATAATGTTGTTAAGGTCTCCTATCCACGGAATGTCTTAATTTAATTCTTGTAAGGTTTAAGCCTCCGTCTTTGTACTATGAAACTAGTTCTATTTTCGTCGTGCTATGCGCGACCAGTTCTTATTTCTATGCGAGAAAGGACAATTAATGATTATTTACTGACGGTAACTAAATGATTGTTACCAAGAGAACATAGAAATTTAATAGAAACGGATGACACAAATGAAAAATAGGCTAGTATTCCAAAAAAAAAAAATCTAATTGACTTCAAAGGAAATAATCTAAACCGACTAAAAACAAAAAACATAATAGTATTTCACTAAATCAGAAGACTAATTTGTAAGCCAAAAACGTCTTTGAAGCTTTCCTCTATCCACCAAAATATAGTTACTATCGTGTTATAAGCACAAGTTTCATTCCTGTTCACAAGTAAAACAACAATTTTAAAGAAAGGTATCATTAATCGAATGCATTTCCAATTGAAACAGAAGACTCACCTAAGCTTAAATCCTTTTATATCTTCTTGTTTAAAATAGTTGTTCTAGAGTTGAGCAAAACATTTAGTATAATGCATTAAAGTTTTTCTTCTTTTTTTTTCAAACAAAGTGTATTAAGTGTTCTTAATTTGTTAATTTGAGGAAAGAAACACGAGTAGTCAAACCATGTTCTGTCGTCATGTAATTAAAGAAAGTGAATCTGTTGGCGATCTGAAACCCTTTTGCCAGATCTACTCTTTCAGAATCAGCAAATCAGCGAAAGATGGACTGCAAAAGACCGGAAATCATCAGCGATGAGCAAAAAGATGGACAGCAAAGACCCAAGTTGTCGATTAGTGTGGAATGTGATACATCAAAGATTATTCGAAAACAAAATTCCTCGGTTGGAAAATCCAGGACCTCCTCGGTTGGAGAAGCCTGGCCCTCCTCTGTTGATGTCTCCATAGAAAATCATGATCACTCCGGCTTTGTCTCTGTGGAAGCCGCCGGTGTCTACCCAAAATCCTCCTTTGTCTCCGAAAAAACCAGTGGCGAAGCAAGTGCTAAATCAAAAGCCAAGACCCAAGAGAGAGGTCATTGAGCTGCAATTCCACCATTTGTCAGTCGTTTATGTTTTCCATCTCAAATGATAAAGCACTTTGTGAAGATGTCTCATTTCTAATCACTGCATCCAATCTCTATTTTTAACAAAAACAAATCTTTAATCGATATCAATACGACACAAACATAATGATGGCGGGTAGAAAAGTAATTGGAAATAATAATGTACTTATTCTGTCCTAAAATAATTATTATCTACATTGGTTTTTGAGATTTATTCTATAATGCCTTTGTTTTCTAATCTCATTAATCAATTTCAGCAATTCAAGCTGTAATGATTTTCCCTAACCCACCGGCACCGACACCGGCACTTTCGCATATAGATAAGAAATTAAATCATGTAGAAATTAAATAGAAGACTGTATGATTTGCCAAGATTTGCCTTCAACTAAAAATCTGTTTAACAACTATAGATAAATTCTTGTTTGACCCGCCAAATCATTAATCAAGGAAATTTTCGACGAATATTTTTTGGTACAATGAAGGAGATTAAATGCCTAATATCCTAAACTAATAATAGAAAAAATTTCTTGATCTTTTCCTTTGCAATCAATATAAGAGACAACGATGCATTTTCCAAACGTATCCCTGTCTTGCTGCTTTTGGATAAATCGGCGATTTTCCCATAAAAGTCCGTAACACTTTCACTCATGATATCTCAAAAGTTACTTGGAACTGTCGATCCCAAAAGGGCAACAATCAAGGAAACTGCCAATATTCCAAAATCGAGTTTCTATATTAAATTATTTGGATAGTTAGATTTGCAATCAAAGAAGAACAAAAGAAGGCGTTGATACTCCCATGAACTTCTGGAGCCGGGAGGAAATGCGACAATCTTTTCCAAGACGATTGACTCCATGCTTTTTCAATAGGTTTCGCCAGGTCCTTCTCATCTTCGGTTCCCGTATAACACTTCATATTTACTAGACCAAGTCTAGGCATTTTGAAAGCAATTGACGCCATTTTCGTACTGCTACTATTTTCTGTAGGCCTCCTGAAAATTGGACAATATTACTACTGTTAAATGTAAGTGTTAGAAGACTCCAAGCAGTAGCGTGCGACTTCCAGGGCAAGAATATCATGCCTGGAAAATATAAATATTGTTTCTTTAAAATAACTGCATAACCCCAAAAAAAATAGGTCTAGACAAATTTAAGGCATAATATAGCCCTAAGAACATCAAATGCTCTTAAGATTGACTTGAAAAAAAAAGGGTTGTCCCCTTCCGATCTGATGATACATATACAGAGAAAATTTGATAACGAAATTTATAGGAAACGATATGCTTGAATTTTAACTATCTTATAACCTTTAATAAATAGACAAACGTCTGTAAAATAAGATATGAATACAAACGGTTATGATTCATTTCTTAATAAAATTGCCTCCGAAATTTTCCTGCACAAACTATAATCTTATAAATTATTTTACCTTCATTTTCTTTTTTGTAAGGTTCAGTTATGTCTGGCTACGTTCTAAGTATATAAATTAAGGAAACAACTACCTGATATAAATCTAAGTATTGGATACATTCTCCAAACCTTCAAGAATAAAAGCCTCAGTTTTTAATGAATATCTTCTCCAGAGTCCAGATAAACAAAAGCGAATACTGTCTTTCTTTTTCTTTTTTTTTTCCCCTAAAGCGATATTCATTTCATAGGATAAAAAAAACCAAAAAAAGCATTTACAATGTAGTAATACAATCTGCCTTAAACGATTCGTCTAACCACAAAGGGACATTACCATCCCACATTTGTGAACACTTGTTAGAAATTGCTAATTTGGTAGATTGTGATACGATGGGTTCCATTCTTTTCGGGTATACAAAAATTTACAACTATCAAATAAGGATTTCAGCGAAAAGATGTCTTTGACTATAGCTATCACATCTGAAGCAGGCAAAATTATTCCCTGCAACCAAGTAACCATACTCTTGTCATTTAATTGGACTTCTATATTCTTTATTCTTTTCAACTGTGCTTCTATCATTGTCAATCTAACTGCTTCCAGTTCAGCTGCAAAGGCATTCAGGGCCGCTTTTAACAGTATTGATTTTGCAGCCACAAACTCACCCCTTTCATCTCTGAAAACCCAACCCAACCCTGCTTCCTTCTTCCCAGCAGCCATTAAGGAACTAACATTGATTCTAGCTCCTTGATTAGGTTTTTTCCACCCCTGAGGCTGTTCCTCATGCCTTCTTTCCCTTCCTCCCTCCTTCTTATCCTGCACCTGTTTATATTCATCCCATTTCTTCATAGCCCTTTGCACCCCCTCCAAAGCTTCCATCCTCCGATTATCAAAAACCCACGTATTTCTAGTTTTTCACAAGGACCACAACAAATATACAGTAAGTTCCACTCTTGATTTCAGTTCCTCCCCTTATCAATCATTATCAAAGATTTTCACCAATCTGGAAAGTTACAAGATCTATCCTGCAATCCATCCCATTTGACAGGGGAAAGCTCCCAAAATAACTTGGCATATTCACAAGTAAAAAGCATATGTTCTATACTTTCATTCCCCATTCCACACCTGCAACATATTTCTTCTACTTTCACCCCCCTCTTTTTAAGTACAGAATTAACTGGTACCCAGCCCTTAAATAGCTTCCACACAAAGTGCTATTAGCTTATTTTGAATTGCAAGTTTCCAAGTTCGAGACCATACCTTTTTCATCACCTCGCTTCCATAACTGGATTCCCCCTGTCTTCTCTGAGCTGCTTTGTATTTTTCCATCTCCTTGAATGCAGAAGTTACAGAAAATCTGCCATTTTGTTCAGCACCCCATACTTGGATATCTTGATTTCCCAGCTTACTAAGTGGCATTTTCAGTACTTGCTCCACCTCTTCTGGCAGTAGTATAGTGCCCAGCAGTTCAGCTTTCCACTCTTTAACGACTGGATCAATAAGTTGCCCCACTGTAGTTAAGTGCTGATTCTCGTTATTTCTTCTCTGTACCCCTACATTACAGCCATCTGGAAGCCACCTGTCTGACCATATGTTTACTGAATTGCCATCTCCAATCCTCCATCTTATACCTTGATGTAGCCCTTTACTTGCCTCTAGCCACCCCTTCTACAGCCAGGAATCCGTACCTTTTTGTTGAGCCTGGAAAATGATACAATTGTGGAAGTATTTCTCCTTTATAACCTTAGACATCAGCGTGTTAGGTTCTGAAATCAACCTCCAGACTTGTTTGGCCAGCAAGGCTTCATTTACAGAGCTTAGATTCCTAAACCGTAGCCCTCCTCTTTCCTTTTCCACAGCTACTTTCTCCCAGGAACCCCAATGCATTTTTCGTTTATTTTCCCCATCTCCCCACCAAAATGCTGTCATCTGTTTTTCAATCTTACTACAAACATTAGCTGTTAGTTTATAGCAAGACATAGCATAAGGGGCATAGCCTGTACCACTGATTTAAGCATAATCTCCTTGCCAGCCGTAGACAAGAACTTGCACTTCCAGCTTCTTATTTTGTTGGTGGCAGCTTCTGTGACATACCGAAAGACCTCTGATTTTGATCTTCCAATAACCAGTGGGAGTCCTAAATATTTTGATTTCACGTGTCGACTAATGCCCTTTAGCTCTGCACATATCAAATTCCTTTTAGCCACAGATACATTTTTGCTAAAAAATACTGAAGACTTATCCCAATTCACTTTCTGTCCAAAACACATTCCATATTCAGACAGGATGCTTTTCAAGCATTGACTTTGACATACATCAGCTTTGCAAAATAATAATGCATCATCCGCAAAAAATAAGTGGGTAATTTTAGGACCAAACTTGCTTATTTTTAACTCCCTTAAAACCCCCTCCCCTCACTGTCCTATTGATGAAATTTGATATTGCTTCTGAACAGATCAAAAAGAGATACGGGGATAGTGGGTCCCCTTGCCAAATCCTTCGAGATGGTTTTAGGTATCCCTTGGTTACCCCATTGATATTAAAAGAGAAAGACGCAGTCCGTATACATTCTAGAATCCACCCCACAAACAAGAGATCAAACTCCATTTTTATGAGCATATTTGCAAGAAATCTCCATTCTACTCTATCATACGCCTTAGCCACATCTAATTTAATAGCTATATATTCCTCTTTTTTTATTCTTAAGTTATTGAAGGAGTGGATATACTCATGCGTAATAGCAACATTATCTAAAATTTGAGTTAATGACCCCTTATCTGAAAATTGTGGGACTCAATTTTGAAATCAACTGATGATGAATGACCTCAAAATGCTAAAATTAAATTAATTATTGATATTACACTTGTGGAATTCTTAAGAGGGTGACACTGAAGAGATTCACCTACTCTTCTAATTGAGCAAAATTTTTTTGCTAAACTAAGTGTGGTTGTACTTGGGTACATGAAGTAAATCAATTTACAAATGTAAATAAGTAGTACATAGTAGATATCGGTCGATTAATTAAATAGTATTGCACCGAATATAATACAAAAATTACACCCACTTATTCGAACCTATAACATGCTGGTCTAAGGTGAGGTGTCTTACCACTAGACCGCATCTCGTTGTCAGCTTATATGAATGGCAGTTTTCTCTTAAGTCCTTTTTAAATCTTGCTCATGCAGTGAGACTAGACGACTTGTTTAAAATTATTTTTTTTCTAAAATTATTGTCTACTTTGAATTTTTTATTTTTAATATAATTCGAACAAAAAAGTAAAAATTTAAAGTGGACTATAATAATACATGTAGGAGTAAAAGTTAATACAGCCTTCGTCCTCGAAATGGATAATTTTGGTATAGAGGAACTGAGGAAGTAGTATTTTATTTTTAAATAGGGTAACAAAAATTAAAAGTCCAAATATCATTATAAATACTCTTAATTTATTCATTCAATTCCTCCCATTTCCCACCATTTCCCAGTCTCCCATGGTTGGCATTTCAGATTTCACTGAAACAAAACCACCGCCGGATAAAGCCATGAATATCAACACGAAGCGAGGCGACAAAAGCCAATGCGCCAACAGAAGAAGGAATCTGTATCAGTGGAATTGGAACCGTCTCATAGTTGATCTCCCGGAGAGCATCCTTGTCCACATCCTTTCCTTCCTCCCAATCACCACCGCTATCAAAACCGCCGCTGTCGCTCGCAACTGGCGCCACCTCTGCTATTCCGTTCCGATCCTCAATTTCGACATGGAAGAGTTCCGTTTACGAATTCCGGAGGAAACCGACCGGGACGCACAGCAACTGTTTGCTGAATTTATCAGCTGAACGCTCCTCCACCGCACTCCCCATTTTCGGATCGAGAAATTCAAATTGTACAACAACTATAAGGGTTTTGAGTACATCAGGTACAACGTCAATTCCTGGCGTCGGTATGTAGTCTATGCTGAAGCATTAGAACTCGATTTGAAATTCAACTCCTTTAGTTATAGTCCCCTATTTAGGAAGGGATGCGCTGGTGAAGATCTAGATGATTATGAAAATCGCAGCTGGGATTATGATATGGCACCTTATGATTTTCATTTCTCTAGCTCGGTTAAGGTTTTAAGACTGCGGGAATGTAACCTCTGTTTCCCTGGTAAAGCATTTTGGGAGTTAACCTGGGAAATGCATCTAGACTTGCTTTTTTCGACACCTGAAGAGATTGCAAATATGATGGCATTATGTGTTAACGTTGAGGTTTTTATCCATTGTGAGAGTTTCAGGTGTACAAAACCTGAAACTGGAGTCCTCAAAACTCAAGTTTCTGAAGCTAGAAAACTTTTCACATCTCAAATCTGAGCAACATTCAGTTGAGATATGAGCCCCCTGGAGACTGTAATATTCGATCGTGCTTATTGTGGAAGGTATGGTTTGGAAGATGTCGGGCTTTGGTTGAAGCTCATGTGAAGTTTGGAAGAAGATCTTGGTGGGAGTTAGCGTGCTGGACTAAAGTATTAAGCTGTCTAACCGGTGTCACACGTTTAACCATTGATAACATGTGCCCTTGGCTTCTGGTATGTTATCATTTTTTGTTTTGCTTCTGATCCTGATATGATACACGGTGCCTTCTGGATTTGCTGATTTCATATTGTTGATACTTGAGAAAATGTCTCATAGAATTTCATCATTTGCCTACTTGTGTGTACTTACGCAATAGTTTATCAGAACCCTAGTATTTATCTCCCCATGCTGTCCTATTTCTTTCGATTTTTCTGAAGGAAACAAGTGAATATGTTTGTTTGGTGAAGTATTACATTTTTTTCGCTAAACAAATAGCAAATCCGTGTGATAGTGTCATTGAGCAGTTTTTGCGCGTTTGTTTAATTTCTAACCCTTTCACCCCAAAAGGTCCAGTTTTTGCACAAATTAGAAAATGATGAAGAACTTTTCATTTGTTCTGCTTTTTCGCAAAGGGAACTATAGCTTTGTTTATATATGAAATTTGTGACATGTTTCTTGTATACATTTGAGTTCAGCTTGAGACTCTAACGTGGGTGTAATGGAATGAAGTAGAAAATTTGTTAATTGAACTTTTTTTTCAAAAGAAATGAACTCATAATAATATAACCAGCATAACTGTTGAAATCTGTGTTAATGTGGGAGAAAGATAGCATTTGCCACTGTAATAAGGTGAGATTTCCAGGGACAGAGAAGATTCTGGGGTAAGGGAGAATGTTTACTGTGAAATCTTGTGGTTTCATTTTAGGGTGGAAGAGTAGTAGATGGTCATGTGAGAAAGATTTTATTCTTTTAGAACACATAAAATACCAGACCAAAATTTATTTATGGCTGTGCCTTTGATCGTACCCTGTAGATTTTGGTTTTCTCGCCTTTAATCTAGGGATAGATGAATGAGGTTGTATGTAGAATTTCATTCATCCCCTTTTTGTTTTTTCTCTTAAATATTACTTTATCAAAACATGGTGTTTCATTTTTTGAGTTTTGGGGAATATACACTATCTATGTTTTGTATATAAAAGTCAAACAGTCATTGCCTTTGGCTACATACTAAACCATGTTGGGCACTCGGTAAGTGAAGAAATCAACCTTTAAGCAGTGAAGGTTAACTGAACAAGTTTTGGTGGAACTTTTCTTGTTTATTTCTTGAATATCTCTGATGATATTTTCCTATTTTATTATAGATTGGTTTAAATTCTTTAAAGGAGCCGCTGGTGACCAATCTTGAGCAACTAATTGAGGATGAAGAGTTCCATGGGAAGGTAATAAACCTTCTCACTTTGATCAATATGTTTGTATTACTGGACTGTCTAAGTCTCAGGAAACAATAGCAAGAGATCCTAATCTCTTTTCGGGCCAGTAATTTTATTCTCAAATCTTCACTTTCATGTCTACCTCAAATGCCAGGCTTCTTTTTAATCTGTTTCCTCTTAGATTGAAAGCTGGTAAGTTTTCCGTCCATCGTGTGATGATATGAGAATGGTTGGTGGAGGAATAAATATAATGTTCGAGGATCATGGGAGTTTTATTTTGAAAAACATTTGATGTCCCTGTTTCACCACTTATGTGTTTTGGTAGTTTCTCATGCCATAAGTGGTCCAAATACTGTTTCAGTATTTCCATTTTGTTATTCTAGTTTCTCGGAATCATGGATTTTGGCATTTGAAAGAATATAAGTTCCATTTTTGGCTTTCAATTGAAGACTAAAGAACATATTTGTCCAGAATCTGATTGGACGTCTGAGACCTGACACTTGTCCAGAATCTAAGTGGAAATATAGCTTGAACATTGAAACCAAAAGCATAATGGGAAGAGCTGATTTGGATTAAGATGATATGCATAAGTTCTCCTTTTGTGCCACACTTCTTGATGAAAGCTATCCACCTATATATTTGTTAGAGTATTAAATTTTGTTTCATTTGAGAACCCCGGAAAAAAAAAAAAAAAGGTTTTGTAGTCTTCTTGGATATTGTTTTATTGTTCCCAACTTCGACAGGTGGTATATTTATGTTTCTCACATTTGAGTCCTTCTATCTGAAGCTTAAGGTTGGAGAGAAGATTTTCTCCAAGACTTTTGGATTTGGGAACCTCAAATATTTAGAGCTATTCACTGGATACTCGAAATATGATTTTCTTGGCCTGGAAATTTTACTCAAGACATGTCTACAGCTCGAGACTTTAGTCCTTGTGTACTTTTATGAGTTATTATGGCATGATGTGAGTATGTTTTTAACATCTACTTACAGTTTGTATTTTCTGCAACAAACAAATGTAACACCCTCTGTCACACCAGCAGGTCGATTCTGACATTGGTAATTTTGATCTACTTTCAGGGAGGATTGCATAAAAGTAAAGAGGTGAGGTCTATCTTTCTTCAATTACCTAGACTTAAGTTTCGTCCAGATGAAGAAGTACGAGGGAACCGAAAATGAAAAGTTTTTGTGAGCCTCTTGAAGCAACATGGAGTGGTCTTGGAAAAGATTGTTGCATTTCCCACAGTAGAGAATCAAATATCATCTCCACCATCTGTTCTTTGAATATGAGCAGCCGAACAATTAAAGTAACCCACCTCTGAAACTTGTTTTAGAATAGGGGAGCTTATGTTAATCTCTACTTTTTCATCATTTAAATTTGATTGAAACAATTCTCATGTCTCTACTCTTATTTTATGGGATGGAGGAACTACTAATAAAAACATCTACCATCCTTCATTGTTTTTTAAAATCTTCCTTCATCCTAGTAGCTTTGTTCCTTCATCATTAATCTCAATTCTGAACTACTTACTCACCTCATACAGATAGTCTACTTTGTGAAATTCCCAACAGTATTGACATTTGACCTACTGACTGTCATGAAATGCAAGATATCTGCAGCTTAGAAACAAAATTATTTTTACTGTATAAATCTGGAAATAACAATCATAAACGTTTGCTGCTCAACTATATACTTAACTCCAACTTATTTATGCTTTATGAACTAAGCCAGATACTGATGTGAAAACAAGCTTTAGAGATACTCCCATAAATTGGGAATTTTCTCCTTTCATTTTCTAAAGAAACAGAGAACATTTATGGAGAATATAACTCCTGAATAGGGTGATTAATCATCTTCAACATGTGTTTATTTCCATTTGGATCTTCTTCTGCCTTTCTGCTGGACCCACTGATCTGTATTGATAGCGGCTAGCCCAGAAGAGAAAGTGCAGGAAATTGAGGCCACATAATATGCACATTAGCCAGTAAAATCGCTCTAGATGGTAATGGTTCAAGTTTCTCCCATAGAGCCATGGAGTGTGCCCGAAAATCCTTGTTACTTGGTTGAGGATCGATACTAGAATGGAACTGAAATAGTAACCCATTGCTAATGATGCCCAAGACAGAGCTGTTGCCAATGACCTCATACTGAATGGACCTTCTGTGAAGAAGAAATCCATCATTCCAGCCAGGCTGAAAAGATCTGCAGATCCTAGGAACAAGTATTGCAAGGCCACCCAAAGGAATGTGATTGGAAGAGGTTTTGTCGAATCAATCATGCCGGATTGCAATGCAACATGCTTTCGCTTGGTTTCCACTACTGCTGCGGTGGCCATGGCGATGATGGACAAGACTAGGCCAGTTCCTATTCGCTGTAGATGCGTGATTCCCATCTCAGTCTTGGTTACCTTCCTCGCAAAGGGGATGATTATATGGTTGTAGATTGGTGCAAGCATCATGATGAAAATGACAGGAAACACCGGAAGAGAAGCTGGCGGAACTGTAAAGGAACCAATCTTTGTGTTCATAGTTGCTGCTTGTTGTACAGAAAAGGTGGAAAGCTGAGCAAGGCAGCAGTTCAGCATTATCGTGGATGCGAATATTGGCAGTGTTTTGATAACAATCTTTACATCTTCTACTTCCTTAACTGTGCATTCTAGTTGTGGGTGGACAGGGTAGTTAGTTGCAGCCACATTCAGGAACTTCATGTCTTCTGATACTCTGTGACATTTCACCCCATCATGTGCATTTTCTAAATCCTCGCCAATTTCACTTGTTTCGGATGTGGTTCTGCTCATGTTTGCGACAGCATTTGGATTTCTGGAAGTACGAGAATGGGAATGGCAAATTGCTCCTGCCAAAACCTGATGAGCAGAACTGTTAGAGATTCTGTTTTATGCCGGATCGCCAAAAAAAAAACAACTATGCTGATGGTTTTCGTTGAATGCCTTGGACTAGTAATTAAAAGTATCGTAGTGGTTTAAGTAATAACTAGTTTGTAGACTAACAATATGTACCTTGAAAATCGTCGTAATAGGGCTTCCAGTGGGAATTTTGATCCTATAAGTTGCAGAACCAAGTATGAAGATAGGAATTGTCAATAGTATTGTGCCAGTCGAAATGCTGAATCCCCACATCCAGCCTTTGTTGTCCTCAATCCACACCAGAAAAGTGACTGCAATCAGTGCCCCGCACGCCAGGGAGAACACGTAATAATTGAAGAAAGTTGATCTCTGCTTTCTTCCATGAGATGTATATTCATCAAACTGTTCCGCGCCATGGGGAGGGAGGGAGCCTTTAATCCCTCCAACTCCTAAAGCAACCAGATAAAGGCCTGCAAACAGCATTGCCTTTTTCGTGCCATCCACTTGTTGACAGGAAGCATTTCTATTCGATGATGTGCAGATTGAAGGATTCAATGAAGGTACCTTAGCTTGCACTGTGAGAATTACCAACCCCTGTCCAACAAGGTTCTTCACTTAGTGAAAAGATGACCATACTCAAGGGTCTTACCTACATGATGCTAGTAGAGGAAAAGTTTTCGCGAAATCCAATAATAACTAGAGCATTCTTTTGCATTCATCAGTGAATTAGTGAAATGAACTAAGAAATTAGGAAGGTAAGCGAAGACCTTACCAGAAACTCGATGGCGGCGCTTATTAGATAGATGCTATAAGTAGTGAAAAAGGCATCAGATAAGAAGCCTCCAAGGAGAGCAAGGAGAAATGCAGTGCCCATGAAATTTGTTACAATGTTGGCTGAACTAGATGGAGAAAAATGCATGAATTTCGACAGATAAAGCACTAGGTTGCTTGCAGTTGCCAGGTATGTCAGATTCTCCATTACCTCAACAACTGGACATTATCAAAATGAGTGAAACAACAAAGTAAGTCCTTGTTGTGATTCTCCTCAAACTTAAGGAAATGCAATCTATGCGTTCAATTTATTCGTTAGGCGCAACTAGTCGAAAATGTGGCCCTAAAAAGTATAGTTATGGAACAAACCTAGAACAAAAAATGCAGCAATTTTTCCACCATGTTGGCTTCTCAAAGCTGGTCTGTTTCGCCAATCTACGTACCCTTCCCATCTGTCAGATTTGTGGGTTACTTCCTGCATTTTTGACATGGGAATTTTCGGCGAATGCAATCAGTTCAACCATCCATGTGTAAAACAACAATGTAAACTGAAAAGGTTAAAAATAGAGAGTGATTCACCATTTTTCTGCTGACAACTTAAAAGCTCAAGTGATTATCTATGGAGTCCTAAAGATAAACTAGCTGGAAGATAGTTCTTACTTTGGTGAGCAGTCATAGTGGACTTGCATTTAAATACTGGGAAGAAAGGATAAGCAATGGTACTAAGTACACTAAGAAGAATAATCTGGAACCTTGTTTGTACAAATCGATTTCTATTGAATGCATGTGCATTGTCCTAAATCCACAGGAGAAAGCAAGAGAGAAACTGAAAGAAGCCAAATTTTGCCTTTTTTGTTATGAAATGTTAGGTGAGGATTTTCTAAAACTAGAAACTGAGGTTATAACGAGATGGGCCGACCAAATGAGTGGTGTTTTTCATCAACTTAATGACATATTTAAAGTTTACAATTTTGTGTTGACAAGTGCTTTTCAAGGAAGTTAATTGGACTGATATGAAGTCATAATATTAAAACTCACTCCGTCCCAAAATGATGATTGTCATGTTTGTTGTACAAATAGCAAAATATATCGACTTTTAGTGCATGGTTTATCTACGTAAATTGCCACAATCATCAAATAATGCATGATTTCAGCTTCAGGGAATATTGCGTGACAAATCAATCATCTTCAGTGTAGTTGTAACCGGAATCATCGACATCAATTCAACTGTAGTCATCTGATCGTGGAGGGCAATGTTACTATCTCTAATCTCTACTCAGTGATGTTTATTCATCATCTGGTTCACATGGCTCTGTCGTTTTGGTTAATATTATAATAATGCTCTCAGAATTGTTCTTTGATCAGTTCCAAAAAAATTTAAAAAAAAAAAAAAAAAAATTGCTCTCTCCTTTAGCTAGAATATATTCGAGTGACTTCCGTGGTTCAAATTGGAGTTTCCAATTCCTATTTTGGGCCGCAATATTGTGTCTTTTGTGACTGTAATTGACAATTCATTGTAATTTGATGAGTGGTTTGACACTGACAGAGAAGACTGGAATTAAACTCTGCTATGCCAGGGAATTTATGTGATTCGATCTATGTAATTTGATAGTGAGATAAATTGTACATGCGTTACGCGCCAAAAAAAAAAAATTAAAACACAAGTAATACTACAAAAAATTTTGCTCAGTTTATGTGCTACTGAATTGTTTTTCTTTGGATTTGCTTTCGAGTTTCCGAGTTGGATCATAATAATCTGTTCAATGTGGCAAAACTTTGAAAACACCCAACAATGATTGGCAATTGGCAATGATTTATTTTAAGGCCAGATTGAAGTTGCACATCTTTGTCAAGTATAATACTCCTTTTGTCCCAAAATTATTATCCAATTTGAAATTTCACTTTTAATACAATTTGAACTAGAAATGAAAATTTAAATTGGACGATAATTATGGGACGGAGTGAGTAGCACATTAAGGTGCCGCCAATGGATTGATCTGTTCCCTTATAAGCATGAAAGGCTTTTTTTTTCATTATTCCTGTACATCATTTAATGAGAATGAATGTATATGTGTGTACCTATCATTATTTACAATCCTTCACGTTTGTCCGAATTTATAATGAAAAATCAACAAACACTTAATACAGGTGATAAAGGTACTAAAATAAATTTAATAAATAATCAGGGTAAATTTTGCTTTCACTCCCTACTAGTTCATTTCTCAGATTTTCTGTTTATATGATCCGGAATCTCAAATAGGTTTATCTAATAACAATATAACATACCCCAAGGCTAGGAAATACCAGGAATGATATTACCAGGGATTTATGAGAAAATAAATTATCATAATGGATTGAAGTCCTGCAGAAATGAGGTAAATTTCTATTATAATCTAACCCAAGTTTTTTTTTTCTTCCCCTTTTTTAATTGAGGATAGTGTTGGTCCTATGATCCTTAAACTTTATGAATGGAATTGTGTTTCTCAAAAGTGGCGATCATTAAGATACAAATGTGATCATCAAAATAGTTTTTGGTCATAGGCTATGAGTATGAGCATCAGTGAAAATGTAAATGGGCAGTTAGTCATTCTCCACTTCGATGACTTTTGTTGGGCATTAGATAAAGTCACTTTGATACAGTTGTGTGTTGTTCATTCAAGACGTAATCACACAATGGCCTCTAATAGTGGAGCTTATGGCAACTTCGATGGCTGGTAAAAATTTCTCCACGAAATTAATTATTCTTTTTGTTTTTTTTTTCCTGCTACTTTTAGAAATCTCTTCTGAGGTTTGGCAAAAACTAGAACAGGGCAAATATTAATACGGCTCTTTTATTTTGGAATGGAAAGAATATGAATTTTCCGATACACATCCTATTTTTTTTTTTTTTTTGATAACATCCTCACATTTGAATCATGAAAGTAATCCGCAGTTTTTACCAATTCTCTGGAGATGTCTAGATTATTTTTCGTCAAGAACTTCAAGACTACGATATCTCATAAAGATATTGCAAATCCTAATAGGCTAGCCATTTCCTTCACTCTTCTCTACTTTTTAATTTTATTTTATTTTTGGTTTTTTTTTTATTTTTTTTTTATTATTATTTTTTTTGAAATGAACATAGTCGAATTTTTCACACGCGGAAAATTGTCCCTTAACGGAAGGGCGGTGGATATGGACGAGGCAGAAGGTGGTGTTGCGTCACATAAGAAGGATCCGGTACCAGTTATTTTCAAGAATTAGAGTCCCAGAAATCTAAACAAGATCCTGCAGTTCCTTCAGGATTGGGGTATTTTTTCCTACCTTGCAGCCCCAAAATCTATCAAATTCATCATAGCCGACCAATTTTTTTCTTTGGCTATAAACTGATGATATGCATACATCATAATGTCCTTCCTCGCTTAGCGAAGTAGTTGTATTATCTTCTTCCGTTCCAGAATAAGAGTTACGTTTTTATTGAACTAATTGATAATATTTTTATTTTCGTTTCTATTTTTTATTTGAGATGTGTTTTTAAAACTGTTTTTGAATGAAATTGTAAAAAGGTGTTTGAATAATTTTTTAAATAAAATAATATTATTTGTTTTATTATCACCACTGGATCACCTCCACCGCCGCCGGAGGAAAAGGTAAAATGAATGGCTTGCCGTTCATGCATTGGTTTCTCATAAACGATATCATTAACGATATATTCCAACCTATTCAAGGCATTTTATATCAAGAAATCGGAGACAAATAGATTACAAGATTCTTCTTGTCCAAAGACATTTCATCTGCTTACTTTTGAGGTGTTCCTAAATAGATTAAATTCCAGAAAAGAAGGATTATTTCCGTTGAGCTGGAAAGTTTTGAACAGATTGAGGAAAGCAGTGAGCATTTCATTCAAATTCGAATATGATTCCAGAAAATTTTGAGAATTATACGCAAAGAGGAAGATCCTTTATACCATTCACTGAAGAGTGTTCATGGAATAATTTAAAGCACAGAGTAACCATTTTATCTTAACAGAAACATATGAAACAAGCTACAAAACCAGTCAAACAGAGTTTCTAGGGTTTAATACTAACTTACAAGTCACAATCACCAATATGCAAGGCTCCCTCTGTCCCAAAGAAATAATCATGTCTACCATAGTGTTGTAGTTCAAGACTATACTTTGGGACGAAGGGAGTATGATACGACCATAACCTACCTCTGCCATCAGGCGGCGATGGATTCAATTTATTGAATATAGACAGTGAAAATACATAATGCTATATGAAAAAAAGGTGAACTAGAAGAAGCAAGACAAACTTGTCATCTCAGTACAACCAAAAGCCAAATGCAGCTTGATCCTCATCTGGGAGTCCATAGTAGAATGAGCTTTGTGCGTTGCAGTAGTCGGCGTCCTCTAGCTTTGGAAAAATGTATGCAGCACTTTCAAGATTCCTACTTCTGTCATCTTCTTCATCCTGGGATAGATCAGACTGATCATGTTCAAAGATGTACAGGGAATCTCCAGGTGGTAGGAGAGAGGAGAACGCCTCCGTGTGATGAGGGCTATCTGAATCCAATACATCACTTGTGCCATAACTTACATCTTCCTGCTTCTGGGCCGGGGCTGATACTTTAGATGATTCATCTTCAGAGACCGAGTAAGTAACAGATGCGTTCGATGGTGCAGCAGTGAGGCTGCCGCCATGAGATAATGTCGAATTAGTGTTCTCTTTCTCGTTCAGAAGGAGCTTTTCTGTAATGTAAACCACCTGAGACATTTGTACACCAATTACATTAGCAAAAATGATAAATAGGAAGTCCGCCATAAGATCAACAATTTCATACACAGAACTACATTACCTCAGCTTTTAAGTTATCTTTTTCCTTAAGGAGGTTGTCATAATCAGCTTTGAGGCTATTGTAGCTAGCTTGCAAAGCCTCATAATCTTTCTCAAGCTGTTTTGTCTTCCACCGTGCACGTCGATTTTGAAACCACACTGCAATCTGCCGGGGTTGCAAGCCAAGTTCTTTAGCAAGTTCAGCTTTCTTTTCTGGTTCTAGTTTGTTCACATCCTCAAAGTTCTTTTCCAGAAACAGAACCTGGTCAGCAGTAAGCCGCCTCTTTTTTTCGGGTTGGAGAAAGTAATATTCTTCCAACTCCTCCAAATTCTCTTCTTGACCAAATGACTGGTAAAACGACTTTGATTTTTTTCCTCCAGTAATACCATCAAAACTCAAAATGGACCTTGAACCTATAGAACAGAATTTCCAACAATTTTAAGGTTCAGGAACAATTACCAATTTACTAGAAAAACTAAACACAGAGATTCAGTTTACTTAGATTCAATCAATCTTGCTCCCCTGTGCATCTACACAATCTCAGTCCGAGAAATGCTTGCCAATTGGTCAATTGAAAACTTGAAAACTAACTGAAAAGGTAATCTAATACCAATTATGCCAGTAGGTGCAACCAAGTAAAACAAGAGTTGACTTTATAGGTACAAGGAAAAATAAGAGATCAAAATATGAATCCAACTTCTCCGTTTCTCAAATCTAACACAATAACAAACTAATAAACAACAGAAAGCAAAGAAAATATAAAACTGTGCAACCAATTCCTTCATACACAAAACTGAGCAAAAGATCATCAAAAGTCAACGCACCAAAACAAACTGGAGAAGAAAGAAAGATTTGTACCGAGATACGAGGAGGAAGAGCTGGATGTGAAAAAGGAATCACGCGGGTGAGACAAAACACAAGAAGCTCTCTGATTCTGAAGAAAGTCACTATCCATATTCGAAGCAGCAATCCCACCACCACAAACACCATACATCCGCTTCTTCTCCGCCATAGCCGCCGGAGAACAAAGATGGGAAATCTTTTTCCGACCCCTTTTTTCCCCCTCAAGAGGCTGCCATGGACAATCCCTTTATCCTTTTAACAGGGATTTTATTGATTAACTAAATTTTATATGCGGGGGGAGAAAAGTTGGAAATCCAACTCCGATGAAGATAACAGAGTTTTTCCGACAAAATCCTATTCAAACCCCTCAAATTTTCTTTTCTTTTTTTTTTCTCTTTATAATCAGATAAATTTATACAGAACTATATGAATGTTTATGAGAAGAAAAGCTTAGATTTTGTGGCGAAAGAAGCTGGTGATGATGATCTCAGTGATATGAGATGCGGAAGAACACCTACTGCTGCTGATTACCACCACCATCATCGATTCCTCTATTCTATACCAAAATCAGATTCAATGGAGCTCAAAAAGGGGAGGAAAATAGAGAAAGAAAGAAGAAGAACTCAGGATTTGAAGATGAAAGTTCAGTGCAGCGATTTGGAATCGTGTGTGTGTGTGCGCGCGCGCTGCGGAGTGGAGTTGAGAGAGTTTGCAGAGACGACCAAAGGGTAAAAGAAATTGCGAGAAAAAAGAGAGAGAGAGAGAGAGAGAGAGAGAGAGTGTGTGTGTTTGGCGATGAAAATGGGTCCAAAAACAGCTACAACATCTTGGCACGTTTGAAGCAAATTCCTTTATGATGTTTTTTTCCTTTTCTTCTCTTTCCTTTTCTTATAGTCTTTTAAGTTTTGGCAAACCTTATTACATACTTACTCCGTCCCATAATTATTGTCCAGTTTAGGTTTTAATTTTTGGTTCAAATTATACTAAAAGTGAAATATCAAACTGAACAATAATTTTGAGACAGAGAAAATAATAAAGAAAAAACTTGATTTTGAATATTTTGCCAAATAGTAATCATTTTCTTCTCTTAATTGGCATTTTTTAAACATTTTATGTTAAGAGTGTTTTTTAACTAATTTTTTTTTAATGCAAAAAGTTAACCGGTTTATGTGTGATTGTATTTATAGGCTCTAATTCTTATTACTCTGTATTTCTGTCTCAGTTCCATAGAGCGTTTCCATGAGAAAATTAATAACCGTTTCTAATTGAGACTTTTAAAAAAAAATAGTTGAGACTGAACTGGTAACATTGCTACTTCAGTCTTCCTTGGGAAAAATAAATGAAGGTAAATTAGTAACATTATTATTTCAATATCAATTCGAAATGACTGACCGTCCAATTAATAAATCCGGAAAGGCTTTTTTTTCCCCTCTAATCTGAAACGTCCGATTAGAATGTTAAATGTTAAAAACATTTAACATTTAGACTTTCGAATAATAATTAATCTACCCTATGGAATAATAATTAATCCTTCAAAGTTTATGTTAAATGTTAAAAACATTTAGACTTTCGAATAATGTTGGTTTCATAAGTTGTCCACCAGGACATTCAACATCTATGGGGCTTACAATGTCAAAAGTAAAGTCCTTCCATTTTAGTTTTGATACAAAAAAAAGTCTAGTATATATTTTTAAAAACTAAACCATAGATTTGGATGTCAAAAGTTTTAGCTTCACACGTTAAGAATAATGGAGGCTGCGTATACGTTGAATGTGTAGTATTTTTATAGTGTTAGGTCTCCTTGTAATAATATGAAAATAAAGAAATTAATTTAACCCCAAAATGGTAAATAAAATAATTAATGAGGGATCTATCAAGTTTAGTTGGCCTTTCGTTTATGCTTTTTTATTCTCCCTTTTTCTCTTTTCTAAATAACAGTTGAAAGAAGAAAGCGATGGGGAAATAGATATTTAAATTAAAGAAACAGAAGGAAACGGTCAAGGATTATAAGATCAATCAAACTAACAATTTGGTCTTTTTTTGGTGTATTGTGACATCGAAGACGAAGAGAAGATAGGCTTACTTGATGTGGGAATAAAAGGGAGAATAGGTTTTTTCATCCCAAGGTTTGAGCCACACCATTTAAAACATTCTAAAGTTTAAAAGTATATCATTTTCATCCTAAACTATTCAAAAATATGTAATATTAGGATATTTGTTAATTTTTTCAAGTTATTAATGGCGATATTTCATTCAGTTTCTTTTCCCCCATTTTTTTTTTAGTCTAAAAAGTTCCATGCTTGCGTTTGGTAAATTTGGTCCATGCCAAGCAAAAAAGTTGCATGCTCCTGCATCAATTACAACATCAATTTTTATAATGATGCTACATATTTAAAAAAATAAATGAAATAGGGCTTACTTTCTAATTAGGACACACACAAAACCTCTCATGATTGTTATCAATCTAGAAGGTGAATTTTGGATTTTTTTTTTTCTTTTTCTAAGTAAGGGAAGAATGGATGATGTGAAGACTAAATTAGATTTAGCTATTTTCTTATAAGGTGTGAGTTAGTGGAACGTGTTAAATGATTAAAAGAATTGGGGGAGGAGAAACAGAATAAAGTACCATCACTAATTAATTAACTGGAGTTAAAAATTTAATGAATATCTTAATGTAACATGTTTTTAAAAAGTTTGGGATGTAAATGGCATGTTCTTAAATTTTGGGATGTTTTGGATGGTGTGGCCCAAACTTTGGGATGAAAAGACCCATTTTCCTGGAATAAAATGATGTAATTTCCCAAAAAAAAACAAAACAAAGAAATAAAATGATTTTGTATGATTTAGATGGTGGGGTTGGTTAGAAGACATTAGGGGATGGCAAGTGTAAGGTCCATTTGGAATTTTGGATGGTTGTTTTGGTCCGTTTTTGTGATTTCATGTGTTTGTCCGTTTGAATAAGATCAATAATGATTTAGAAAATATTTAAACAAATTAGTACTGTTTGCTGCATTGTGCAAGTGCTGTAAAAAAAGAGAAAAAAAAATATTGAGTTAAATAATTGACAATAAGTAATTGAATTGACTTCTTTTTTTTTGGATGAAAAGTGAAATATATTACTCAAAACTTGTGATTCGTTACGTTTACATTTCCTTCTTTGCCTACAATATTCCTACCATCTTATATTGGCAGCCAAATTTTACTCTTTGTTGTACCTGTTTCAGCTTCATTCCTCTTCGGTTAAGCCCCACCCAATCCATCGCTTCTCTCAGTATCTTTTCTGAGTATCTGCTGCATTCAAAGAACAAATGTGCATTGTCCTCTATTACTACTGTCCCACACAGTGCACATCCAGTTTGTGGTCCAAGAATATTCAATCTATCCATGGTTAACAGCCTATCCTACTATGCGAGCCTAATAAAGTTATGTTTTGGAGTACATATTGTATTCCAAATCATAGTTGCTGCCGCAAACTCCTTTTGCCCTTTACTTCTCCAATTATCATAGCCTTTCTTTACATTGTATTCATTCTTTCGCAGCTTCCATATGCCTGCATCAACTCCCTCCTCCAATTTTTGTTTAATCTGCATAAGGTTCCTCAATGCCAGCGACAGTCAATTGGTGGTTCATCCTCCCAAACCTCCCCTCCTTTCAGATAGTATGCATGAATCCACTTGACCATAATACATTCTCTTCAGTGGCAATATCCAAATTTGTTTAGCTACAGCATATCCTGGTTCCAGATTCCTGGATCTCTAATGTTCAGTCCTCCCTCTTTTCTAGGACTGCACATATTTTCCCACGTCACCAACGCCATTCTGCTCCGCTCCCTATTTCAGTCCTGCCTCATAGAACAAACTCTCTACATACTCTTGTTATTTGAGAGATCACTTCCTTAGGCACTGAGTTAACCAACTGATTCCTACCATTATAGGGTAAGTATTTTGTGCTCCAACAGTCAATCCTTTTGGTAATTTCAGATTCCTACACGTATTATTTAAATTAATAAATGATTTTTGTTAATTACGGCAATGATGATCATCTTTTTTTAGTTTCAATTTTAAGGATAAGGAATTGAAGGAAATAAGGCAACCATCATCTCTTGTCAAATGTGTCTCACTAATTACTTGAAATATTATTATGAAATTTTCAATTTTAAAAGGATAAAATATGTTTATCACAGTTTAAATAATAAACGTAATTAAGTAAAACTAGTGCTATTTGTGTCGTGTGTTCAGTTCTATTCAGAATCATTTTACTAAATCGATCAAAATGTATATTTTACTTTATTCTTGTTCGAAGAGATCTGTTACGATTAATTTTTATTTTAATATTTATATATCTTGACGGCTAATTATTTATGAGGAAACATGAATAATTCTTTAACGTCATGGGTGGATTTTTATGTTTAAGTTGTAAAGATCACTTTCAGTAGATAGATTTTATGATTTTGGGTTACGACAATTTTAAATATCGTAGCTATCTAAACAAGTCACCGTATTGTAGAGTACTTGTATTTTATGATCAAATTAATTTTGTATTTTGTTTCAGTGTTGTAATTATATACAAAGATCAATCTTGCAAACACAACTAGCACCCTTATCACAAATGTTAAAATCTAAATTCCTAATGTAGTTCGGAGTTTAGTGTAAAGACTTAGTAAGTTTCGCTACTATCTTTTTGGAATTCAAGATAATTAATGCCTAGTAAAGATGATGAAAATTTAGGGCATTTGTGATGGTATATAGTAGTCATGGAAATGCTCTTTAGCAGTTTACACTTCATTCAAAGACGCCTAGTGCTTCACCTTCAACATCAATGAACTCTTCTCAAAGTCTTTGCTCACAAATGGTCTCCAAAAATCACCATGAATATAAGAGAGGTTGGAAGAATAAAACCTGAAACAAGTGATACTGCAAGAAGCAACATCAAGTACATCTTGGAAAACCAAGTTACCTAGAGGTTTGGGGAAAACGTTTGGTTATGAATTATGATCATCATCGACTTCAAAAAATATAATTGGAGTCTATGATTAGCAAATAATAATAATAATAATAATTTGAGTCTATTTTAGTCAAAGTTGTTATATATTTCTTTCACTTCAATATGAAAAGATACCCTTTCAAAATCTAAATTTGTATCTTGTAACTCAAATTATGAATTTTCAAAGTTGCTGGTAGATGCTGTCGTTTATGCACGCCCAAAAAAATATTTATAAAACCTACTTAAAACTATTAGTTAGTAGTAAGTAGGGTCGTTCGACAGATATGGCAGTCAACCACTCAAAATCTGATTAATGTGCAAGAAAATGAAAGTAAATGAACTGAACGGGTCACTTGGAAGAGTGAGAATAGTCAATTGACAGAGTGAAGAGGCAGAACGGGTCACCTGATCAAACAATAAATCAGCTTCCTACCTTTACGATCTAGTTTTGATTCAAGTAATCCTGTAGTTTATGATTTATTATTTGATCAGGCACATATATTCTTTATAATTCCTCTCAAACAGAATAAAGAACCTTAGATTATCTAAATTACCTACCTCTCAGTCACTGTAATTCATTAATCTAAGCCATTTAGTTCATAAGTCCTTCTTTGATCACATATGCCAGTCACCTAACTCTCGTTGATGATTGAAACCAAAGGGTAGATTTTCTCCTTTATTATAGACTAGATTAAACCGTTCTAAAGTTATGCTCCCCCTCTCAGATCTTCATAACTATGCATGCATATTTAATTAAGTGGTCAATTTAATCAAAAGATTAATTGAAACTCTTATCTAGACATAATGCCTCATCAAGAAAAACTGAATCAAACTTTCACATAAAGATAGGAGGGATTGAACCCTTAA